GTACACGATACTCATACAGGAATTACCGGATATATATATAATATAATCACACTTTTATATACGCTAAGCTTTTTTTCTAAATATAAAAAAGAAGATGTGGTATAATTGCCAATGAGACAACTCTCCACAAGAGACCAAATGACACAGAAATTAACAACTATAGATCACCGTACGGCCTTCAACAATGAAGAAAGCCCATACCGCACAGTCAGCTATAAAAGGCCCCGAAATGACAATGTAAAACAATTCAAACGAGAAAACTAACGGCCTAATTTATGTACAAAAAAATGAACGAATAACAAATATGTTTAATTTTTTTATCAGTAACATTACATTTGCTATTAAATTCAGAGCAATTCATTGTTTCTAACGTCTAAACGTCAAAAGGTTATTATTTCGGACGTTAATATCCTCGATCTGACTCCTCGGCTATTTTCTGATATTTGTGACGATCTTAACATCTTCAATGCACTTCGACGAGATTGGAAGTTATTAGCAGGTAATGTTTTACATGATAAATTTTTGTACTTTCTGTATGCTAAAAAATGAAAACAACACTTTATAAATGAAGCGCGTTTATTTTTTTTATTTACATTCACCAGGAACGTTCAAAGCCATTTTTTTGTAAAAGCTAAGGGTGTGTAAGAACTGAAACAGTTGAAGAGCTATCTGACCAAAACGGGTCCTAAAGATAAAAATCCAAAATCTATCTAAGGCCAACTTTGCCTTAGGGGATTGAAACCTTATTTCTTAATAATTTATAAATTTATAAACGAACATTTTAAGAAAGTTTTTTATTAATCATGTCGGTACCGAAGTACTGACTACAGAGATGATGATACCCTGGGGTCTGATAGTCCAAGAGCAGCGTTATCGACCCAGTGCTTTAAAAAAATTAAAATGACACTTTATAAATTCCAGCGACCGAAGCGCTTTTCTGAATTTACATATTTTCACAAAAACACTAGGAAAAAGCAAACGTCAAAGAGAGTTACTGAAAATGCGATCACCACGGGACCCCTGTGATGCTCTTTTATAAGACTGGGCAGCGTCAACAACTGAGGCTACAGTGGAACGCTTGCTGGAAAAGCTTACTCGAATGGAAAGATTTGACGTTGCTAGAAGATTAGAGGATTACATTCAATGAATCTAAATGTGCTGTCGATATCTACCTTCCGTTTCTCTCAAAAAGGTTAACGAATATGCCAACTTGTAATTTATCACGAGTTCGGGTCGTTTTTAAATGTACCATAAAAAGGATCAAATCTTTAAAAATTGCAAGACAGAGCATCGATAATAACCTCCTGCAATTTACATTATATCTGAGGCTTATTGAAAGAAACCTTTGTTATATATTTCAAATTGCAAATTGCAACGACTGACAATAAATGAAAATTGTTTTACTAGTATTTGAATCCTTACAATAACACTGGGTATTTATTCACATGCATATGTTTGTAAAATTGTGATATGCAACAGTTACTATATTATTTGCATAAAATTGGTATTATTCATTTCATTTAAAATGTATGAATGGAATTTATACAGTATTAAATATTATCAAAATCAAGGTTGTGATACATCTACATGTTAGTACACATATTTTGCATTCAACTGTATGTCGTGTTTAATTATTCAATAGGTTGATAAAAGGTTTTATATGTAAATTCCAGCTCATAAAATTATGTAATTGTTATAAACTAAGGTTTCAACTCCCTCAAGAAAGGTTAACCTATGACGGTTTTGGTTGTTGTTCTGTTCAACTCCCTCAGGAAAGGTTAACCTAAGACGGTTTGGCTGTTGTTCTGTTCAACTTTACCGGGAAAGGTTAACTTAAGACGGTTTTGGTTGTTGTTCTGTTCAACTCCCTCAGGAAAGGTTAACCTAAGACGGTTTGGCTGTTGTTCTGTTTGGACATTTTAGGATTTTTATACTCTAAAAATGAAAATAAATCTTTATATGTAAGTTGCATACGAAGGGTTTTCTGAATTTACCTTTATCGGGAACGTTCACAGCCAAAAACTGAAAGCCCAGAATGAATAGGTACTTGAAAACGCGAGGTGCTACATGACCGAAAAGACAATGAAAAGAAAAGGCAAATCCGTCTAATACAAAAATACGGAAATGTGGTATGATTGCCAATGAGACAACTATCTACCAAAGTTAAAATGAAGTGGATGTAAGCAATTATAGGCAACTGTACGGCCTTCAACAATGGGAAAAATCCATACCCTATAGTCGGCTATAAAAGGCCCCGACATGAAAAACACGAAACAATTCAATTGAGAAGACTAATTTATAACAAAACAAAATACGAAAAACAAATATGACAGACATGAACCAACGACAACCACTGAACTGAAAATATACTCCAATTGCAAAGGGAAGTACTGTGTTGATGTATAAGAGACAAAACATTAAGGAATACTAGAAAATATTCAAGTATTCAAGGAACATATGTTTTTCTACTGTCCTTCACACTTTAACTTGCTGGCGGATATCAATGACGAATTAAAGAGCTTATAGCTTACAGCATGATCAAATAGGCCTTCTTGTTGTTGATCTAAATAAACTAATCATAGATACCAGGATTAAAGTTTGTACGCCAGAGGCGCGTTTTGTCTACAAAAGACTCATCAGTGACGCTCGAATAAAAAAAGTTAAACAAGCCAAATAAGTACGAAAGTTGAAGAGCATTGAGGACCAAAAATTCCGAATCTTTTTTTTATCAATATTTACTCGACAAGAACTTTAACATTAAAACATCTATATGCAAACACACAATCGAAGAGCACATTTCAAGACATGTGTAAAAAAAAGTTAGAATGGACAACAAAAACTGCATAAATAGTTATTTTATATTTGTCCTTCATTTGCATGAAAGATTTTCCGATGAAAGTGAATCAAACAAGATTAATTATTTCAGCTTACGGAAATTTGGTAAGGAGACCTCAGTCTGTTGCAGCTGTTTTATTTATTTTCATTTAGACTTTTGTGTTCCAGGCGATTTCAACTAAAAAGAGGCCTAGCTTGTTGCAGTGAATGTCAAAGCATTCCTAATAAAAAAAATTTCAGACAAAATGCTATTACTTTTGTAAGAGTTTGAATGCAAATACCTGTAAATTTTAAAGCACATAACTTTATTTCTTGAAATCTGTATAATTATCTCCTAGAAGTCCAGAGACGGGATGCTCCAAAATTAACACAAAACAATCTGTTACGTAGCGTACCTAATTTGTTTTGTTAGCATGCAATATATTCTGTATCGATGTTATGAGGTTTTCAGTGTATTTCTGATTACAGAACACTGCCAATATGCAGATTGCACGCACTTTATAAAATGAAGCTTACCATTGGAACGTCTATCTTTGGATCAGAAGGAGGAGGACACACATAGACGCTTTTAAAAGTGATAAACATAAATCTTACCGTCTCGATGTGAATATTGTTGGAGAAATCTGTCAAGGGAAAAAAAACAAGTCTATGTCGTCTATCAGAAACCGAACACAGTACTGCGGCACTGAACATGAGTTAGTGGAAAGCCTGGCCACTACACCGAACAACGAATCTTTTTTTACTCACGTTGATCTTCAAACAGCTAGTGTTGATGAATGTTCGCATGTGAGCAGACGGCTAAATGGGCGACATGAACCAAAACAAGTATATAGCAGTAATATAATTATTCATAAAAGTAACTATATTGATATATCTCATGGTGTTATATACTTCACGTGCGTCCACATACCCATGATTTGCAATAATGCTAATGATATCGATGGCATTTTCTGGTTTATTACTTTTTGGTTCGCTGCGCGACGGATTTGGGATGGCCATAGGTTTCAGTCTATCTTGTGCTCTACAACGATTCACTTCTCAGATGGAAGTTATACGAACAGTTTGTTCATTTTGGAAAATGATCTTGCATGGTATCTTTTTTTATGCATGTATGTACTTTGGAAGTATCCATATGGTGATGGCATTTAGCATTAGCATATCAACAGGAATATGATACTGTTTAGTACATGTATAGGGTCGTCAAATTGGCTATTCCTTATTCCTTATTCGTTACGTATTCCTTGTTCCTTATTCGCTACATTTTCGTTATATTTTTGCTTTTTATAACATTCTTAACTTTGCTCATTCTTTTCTTAACTTTAACGACTTTTTGAGATATTTTGAAAGGAGACAAGTGTGCCAACTATAAATTAACCTGTCCCTGGGTGAAATCAGTCTGTAAAACGTGTTTACCGTCTCAACGTAAAACTATCGGATTTTAGTAACTTGCAATTTGGATGCCTTTATTCTTTTCTCTTTTTACAATGAGCTTTCTGACTGGTGAGTATTTGGACACCCAAATGAGATTTCATCAATATTTACACTACTTGTGATAACGTCATTGTGTATTTCCAAAGCACATGTTCAGTTATAAGTGGTTTAGGAGGTAGATTTATCATGTCATCTTCATTAAGCTTGGCTTTGATACATATTTGAAATTTCGAAACAAAGTGTTAATGTTACTAACCAAAAGACGACAAGGAAAAAATAATCTGTTACTTCTTAGGAATTTTCCCGGGAATTTGTATCACCATTGAACTAGAATGGAAATTATCGAATCAGTGGTTTATTCGTGGCATATTTGAAATACAGGTAATCGTCTTCATAGAGAATAACTTTTTTTTTTACTGTAAGGAAAAGTGAGATATGATCATTCAGTGTCTATAAGCTATGCAACCAAAGTACTTGATTAAAAAATCGAAGCTTCTCTGAAATTATCAATCCTTTTATTTCAACTGCATCTATGACTGTTTTTTTTATTGACGATAACAGCTTCATAACTACTTGAAATATAAAGGTATCTTTCATACCAAATGTATACTTTTTAAAAAAAAATTCCAAGAAATGATAAACGCAATTTCAGTCATTACGTGTAAAACATTCATTAAAAGTATCACATTTCAGTTGAATGAGAAAATAACGTAACAGCTTTTACCATAGTAAAATTAAGGTACCAACTTTACATGTGTATTCTGCTGTAGGTCTTGTTTACAACTTAAATGTTTTTATTTCATCCGTTTTTAATAGGCGTTTTGTGTGCGACCTTTGGAGAGGTCAAAACTCATTATGACGAGGGAGAAGGTGAGTTAATTAATTATGATTTTTATAAATAGCCATTGAATAATTCAAGTATTTGCATAATTTTTTTTTATTAAAATGGTTTGATTGTTTGGTTATTTTGGGTTTTTTTTACACATTATAGGTGAGCATCATTTGATTAGGTAAAAACGTGCCTGTACCCAGTCAGCTAGGAGCCTGCATGTAATTCAGTGGTAACCGTCAGTTGCTGTCTATCATATTTGTTTATCATTCATTGTTTTATCATTTATCTGGCCGTTGGTTTTCTCTTTTGAATAGCTATACATTTTGTCACGGCGGGTTATTAATACTAGTAGCTATAAATTACGATACGGTATGGGGTTTGTCAATAATTATTGTTGAGGGCCGTACGATGAATTATAGTTGCTTTCTTCCACTTCACTGGCAATCCCACTTCCCTATGTTTCGGTATCGAATGTTGCCATTGTGTAGTGTGTTTATTTAGGGGATTCGATCCTTTGAAGCTTTGCGTTTCCATAGTTATGCAGTTCTGATTGCTTAAAGATTTTTTGCTTGACTTAATAGATCATTTTATAAATAACACATAGGTGAGAGGATGATAGAACATGCAGATTGTTACCCCCAGAAAAAAAAATGTCAAGTACACAGCTAATCAGAATATACTCGAACAACTACAATTAATGATTATGTGAGATTCGTGCAATATGCTGACGTATATTTTTCTTCTCAAAAGGTTCTAACCTCTCAGGGGAAGAACAGATTCTTATTGTTGACGATTTGTGTCCATGCATGACAGAAGCAAAAATGAAGTTGCAAATATTGCCAATAAAATTAGAACAGATGATACTCAATACACGTTGTTTTTTTCCCTCCGGAGCTATTTCAAGATGAAGAGTCCTTTAAACACGCACGAACACAAAGTAACAGGTTCTCAAAAAATATTGCTGTTAAAGCTGATAGCCTCGTACATCAACGCCTTTAAGGTCGAAACTCTTTGCAAAACACTTATGATACAAACCATACATTTCTCTTTTTCGGCTGAATATATGCATGCAATACATTTCATATCTTTATTTTGTACATTTTACTTTATCGGCATATTGTATTTTCTTAAATCTCGTAAATTTCAGAATATTTCTATGACAGTAAGTATATGTGTTTTATTTGGCACCTTTTTGGTAGGTTTCGTAGGGGAGGAGGATTGGGCATGTCGTTTTGTTAATAAATTGTTTGATTCAACTTTTCTTGAAGAAAAAAAACAGTTTGTTTCAGAAGAAAAGTACACACAATAGCTAATTTGGTTTGTATACCTTTAAGGGCCCTTTTTAAAATTAGGAAATAAAATGATTTGATTTGATTATTCTATTGAAATTATAAGGGGAGGTGCAATACATTGATTTCCTTAACAAAATCTTGTTCCTGTTTGTTATTAAAAGAAAAAAATGGTTTGTTTTTTCTTAAAGTAAAATAAAAGAACTTTGTATAAACTTAAGGTAAAAACCCATGATGCCCAGCAAAACATGCATGAATGGTCGGTCCCTTGTATATACTTTTATGTGCTAGCTTGCCTCCGATTGCTGCTGAAAGCTTTCAATCTATTATGTTAAACTTGGTCTATATGTAAGCCTTTAAAATTTCAGTCAATGCTCTAAGTAATATAAGATGCATTTCAACTATTTGAAAAATCAAATCAGTTATATTATATAGATATAAACTTTGAAAATGAAATTAAATTTTAATCATAACGTAGTCTATTTTATGAATATTGTCCAGAGAAGAATTGTTGCATGGGCTTTCGAGTGCACTATATATTAAGATGCATAATGTTCACCAATAGTCATGAAACAATACCTTTAATATATAGTAAAGATTGAAAAACGTTTTAAAACATTTGTGTCTCTGATGACGTCGACACTTTGAAGCTACATTTGCACTAGTATATCATAGAATATTGCACGCTAACTCTTCGTTACGTTCTGTGAAAAATATTATGCTTCTTTACAATACATCAATTTACTACATATTTCTTCTATTTCGAAAATATAAAGTTTAAATAAAAGAACGGACACGGTAACTTTACTCAGTCACATATCTTCACAGTGCTTCATCGTCACTCGGTAGCTACAGATTCGTGAGTTAGCTGAACACACATATCTTCACAGTGCTTATAACATCGTCACTCGGTAGCTACAGATTCGTGAGTTAGCTGAACACACATATCTTCACAGTGCTTATAACATCGTCACTCGGTAGCTACAGATTCGTGAGTTAGCTGAACACACATATCTTCACAGTGCCTATAACATCGTCACTCGGTAGCTACAGATTCGTGAGTTAGCTGAACACACATATCTTCACAGTGCTTATAACATCGTCACTCGTAGCTACAGATTCGTGAGTTAGCTGAACACACATATCTTCACAGTGCTTATAACATCGTCACTCGGTAGCTACAGATTCGTGAGTTAGCTGAACACACATATCTTCACAGTGCTTGTAACATGGTCACTCGGTAGCTACATATTCGTGAGGTAGCTATACACAGACATCTTCCCATTGCTTGTAACTTCGTCACTCGGTAGCTAGGCCGGGGTGATTCGTGAGTTAGTTGAACACACATATCTTCACAGTGCTTGTAACATAGTCACTCGGTAGCTACTGATTCGTGAGGTAGCTGTACACACATATCTTCACAGTGCTTGTAACATCGTCACTCGGTAGCTACTGATTCGTGGGGTATCTTCACAGTGCCTGTAACATCGTCACTCGATAGCAACTAATTATAGGGATAGACGAATATGTAATAGTTGGAACAATTATTTTACCGTTTCAGTTGCTCTTCATTAAAGATATATTCCTTACATTATTTATAGCTCCATTCGACTTGTTTGCAAAGAATGTGCTCCGAATTTTCTATTGTGGCATATTTTAAATAATCAATATGTAACCTATTAAAATAAATCACTGTTACTAGTTTAAATGTTTTATTCTTATATAAATGATACAAATAAGAGGAAATGGCTTAACTTGTTGGTTTGCATTTTAGGCTACAATGAAAAGCCTGCATTTCATGCATACGTAAAAGGTAATCGTCCTTTTAGTGGAGATGACATCTTGAAATTTGACGAAGTCCTTACGAACATAGGGAACAACTACGACTCTTCAACGGGTCAGTTCACTGCACCTAAAACAGGATTGTACCAAATTGCATGTACCATACAAGGATATCGGACATCTGGTGTCACCTTCCAAATACAGAAAAATAATGATAGATTTGATCTTGGTTATGCGGGAGGTAGGGACTGGCATGCTGTAACTCGTGTTCTACTGATGCAATTAAAGGATGGAGATAAAGTGTTCGTCCAACACAGAGTACCACACAGAAAAGAGACTGTTGCTGGAAATCGACATTCATATTTCTCTGGACGTCTTTTGCAATAAAATTCAATTTGATATAAAATTTGTTGAATCAATAAATGTATCTTTATTTTTAATTTACCAAAACGAACAAAAAAGATCAAAAAGTATATGCACAACAAAAGCTTAAATCATTAAAGGTTTAGGCAAAATGATTTCAAACCCAAACCGGGAGTAATAGTAGGAACCTGTATTTTTTTATTATTGGAAGAGTGAATTTAAATTCATAATTTTGTTTGCATGCCCCATCCTTCGAAAAGCAAATAAAAATTTGAGGACTCTAAGTCCATTTCATTTAAATCTCAAGTGGCAAATATGTGCTGTAAGAACCCAATAAAGTACAAGCATGGGAATGTGATACTTATTATAGTTAGGATGCAATTCTGTTATAGGCCGTACGGTTATTTCATATGGTCTCTGGTGGATATTAGTCATAATTGGCAATGATGCAATACCATACCTCATTATTGTTTTATATTACATAGGGATTAAGGTACTTTTATACTACTACTATATATATATATATATAATATATGCACATTTAATTTTGTTTTCGGCATAACTTGACCTTCGGTTTTAATAGAGACGTTTTTCGAATAAATTAATTCAATGAAACTGTAATAGGTGTTTGAGCTTATTGCCTTTATCAAAACTTGTTCTTTGTCAGCTATGACTGACTACCTTTCTTCGAAATGATATTTTCCAAAGATGAGTTTTAAACTTACCCCAATTGAAAGGTATTACCATTCAATGAGGTGTTCTATACATTGTCATGGTGTAAACAAAAAGAAAATATCAAGTCAATGTCTTCAAGCATTACTAAAAACAGTGTGGAAAACTGAATATATGAGTGAATTTTTTCAAGTCCAAGGACCATAACTCTGCACAAAATTATCAGACCGAAACAAAAATTTGAACTTGATCTGTAACTTGTCATCATAAAACTATATACCAATTGTCAATCAATATCTTCAAGCATGCTGATAAAAAGTGTGGAAAACCTATAACACTCTAACATTAGATATGATTATTAGTTCTCTAAAATTAGATATGATGTAATACAATGTATATCTATTTTCAAATTACCATCAAATATAATTAATAGTTCCAAATATTTTTTCTTTCATTTGTCACAAACTAATATAGATTTGTAACTTATCTATAAAATGTCAACAACTTTTATCTACACAATGTAATGCAATGAAATATATACCTTAATAAAAATAGATTATTGTCTAATTAAAGAATTTCACTTAATAAAAATATATATATATATATATATATACATGTAGCATTCAGAAAACTAGTTTATACAAAATAACATATATACCTGCCACAAAATTCCTCAAACAATTTACCAAAGAATGTCTTTTAAAAAATGAGTTATCTCCCTTTGTACAGATATATGGTTTAACATAGTACTCTAACATTAGTTATGGAGTTTTTTTATGGACCATAACTCTGGACTAAATCATCAGACCGGGACAAAATTCCATCTTGATCTATAACTTGTCATGATAAAACTATATACCAAATATCAAATCAATATCTTCAAGAACGAAGAAAAAAGTGTGGAAAACTGAGTTGCTGGACTGACGGATGGACAGACAGACAGACAGACGGAGTGCAACCTACAGTCCCCTTTGACTTCGTCGGTAGGGGACTAATAAAGACTAGTCCAAATGTACAAAGGATTCAAAATATCTCTTTTAGGAAGGGACAATGGACTGATAACATGTTCTGGCAGTGAGCAGGAATTACAAACATTCAATTTACAGAAAAGCTAAATCAAACTATTCTCATACAAAATTTACGACCTGGAAACACTATTTTTCTAAATAGCATTTGACTTTCGTAGCTAAACAACAAACTCCACTAATACTCATGAATATGTACAGAAATAATCTTTTCACAACCCTGTTGTAATTATAATGAAACTTAAGGACACAGAATAAGCTGTTATAATAACTATACACTATCAAACTAGAGGCTTCAATTAGGGAATATGTCTTGCTCAATTGGGTATTTTTGTATAAAATTAAGTCACTTGTGTTGAATGGAAACTGTAGGGGCCCAAGTCTTGTTTTGCTGATAATTTTTGCTGGACTAATTTTCAGCCTATCTATTATAGTTTTTAAAATCTAAGGTAAAAACACTAAATTTGGTAAAAAAATCTTCAGTTACTTTAATTCCTATAAGGAGCTGATTGGCAATTGAACCATGTGAACACAGGACACCATGCCTCACTTACACTTTTATATTTCCATGTTTAGTGAGCCGTCAAAAATATAATAATTAACAAGTTTACTTAGTGTCTTGTTGATATGACAATAGCTGATGGTTATTTACCTGAACTCAAATTTTAACTAGAAAATGTACTCATTTCACAATGCAACATTTCCATGTTCAATGAGCTTTGAAATAGTGATCAAAACTGTAATTTGGCATACAGTTTAAATAGTTCACATCATACTGAACATGTGTAAAAAGTTTCTTAAGTTGATGTGACTACAAGTTCTTTGTAAACCACCTCAATCCAAAATTTAAAACTGAAAATGTTCTGAATTTTGCTTGTTCAGTGAACTGAAAAATTTGGATCAAAACCCTAATTTGGCATTCACGTCATTAAATTCACATTATAATGAACATGTATATTCAGTTTTAAGTTGATGTGATCACAATTTCATGGAAAACCTTAAACCAAATATTTAACCTAATATAGGATGAACAAATGGATCACTAGTCTACAGACCAAGAGATAAATGGATGAATTTATAAATGAACAGGCACACAGATTGAAAAACCTTATGCCCCCTTCTATTGTCTGCAGCTTGTAAAAATCAAATTAATCCATATCTGTCATGCATTTCCTTTATTGAAACTGTTAAGTTCTATTTTGTTATTCTTATTTGATAAATTCTAGTTGTTAGAATAATGTATTTATTTCACAGGTGAATCGATATGGGGTATTTTTGTAATTTATGCTCACAGTACCTAGTTTATTATGCTATTCATTTGACCCTCAAAATTATTTCTTTAAGAAGAGTGCACACGCTGAAATGTCTTGCCTACTTAACTGACCATTGATTTTATGTTGAAAGTCTTAAAGATAAAGGTTTTACTACAAGAATCACATAAACTTAACATTTTTTAAGATCCATGACAATAAGGTCAAGGTACGATAAATTCTGTCGGACAGACATGAACAACTTACAATAATTCCATACAACAAATATAGTTGACCTATTGCTTATGGTATTTGAAAAACAGACCAAAACACAAAAACTTAACATTGACCAATGACCCATGAAAATGAGGTCAAGGTCAGATGATACCTGCCAGACAGACATGTACACATTACAATTATTCAGTACACTAAATATAGCTGACATGTTGCTATTAGTATTTTAAAAAAAAGACCAAAACACAAAAACCTAACGTTGACCAATGAACCATAAAAAATGAGGTCAAGGTCAGATGATACCTGGTGGACAGACATGTACACCTTACAATCATTCTAAACACCAAATATAGTTGACCTATTGCTTATAGTACTAGAAAAACAGACCAAAACACAAAAACTTAACATTACCAATGAACCATAACAATGAGGTCAAGTTCAGATGAAACCTGCCAGACTGACATGTACCCCTTACAATCATTCCATACACCACATATAGTTGACCTACTGCTTAAGGTATCTGAGAAATGGACCTAATCATGTAACTTAAACCTTGATCACTGATCGACAAATGGGGTCGAGGTCAGGTGAAACTAGTCTGACAGATATGTAGACATTGGAAGGAACCCGTATACCAAATATAGTAAGTGAGAAATTCACATGACAAAATTTTTTTTTTTTAATTTTCAAGCAGTAGCTGAATCATGAAAATGAGGTCAAGGACAATGGACATATGACAGACAGAAACTTTGTAACATAAGGTATCTGCATACAAGGTATGAAGCATCCAGGTCTTCTTCCATCTGATAAATAAAGCTTTATACAAATAGTTATCACCCTGCTGCCAACGGATAGTAATCCCTATGTCTCTCAAACAGGGCGATACAAAAATTACACTACTACAAACTCCTTTTGAATTTATTTTTATTACACTCATCAACATAGTTAAAAAGAAAGTATAATTTTCATAAAAAAAATAAATACAATATAAAATAGTTAAAACATATCACAGTTGGCAGTACATATGTACTTTACAAAATCATTTTTGAACATTGATTTCAAACATTAAAAATTTCTTAAATGTATATTTTATTTCCAGAAAAAAAATCGAGAACAGAATCATTGACCAATTAAATTTTCGTTAATGTTAAAAAATCTACATAAATATTTTTAATTATCAAAAATGATGACACTTATTTTGGTTCCTTCCAAGTTTAACAAAAATCCCTGAAACTGATTTTTTTAAATTTACACAGATTTTAAAGTCTAAATTTTGTCCCAATAAAAAATTACAAAACAAATCATTTTTATATTTAGTTGTCTCAAAATCAGATATAAAGACAAGGAAATTCAATTATTATCTATGTTCTATATTTTTCTTTAGTCACAAACAGTTTGAAAAATTAAATATTAATAAAGATTTGAATTGGAGTATTATTATTCAATACACAAAGAAGGTTTGTAATATTTGTAATTTACATGTAAAGAGTTTGGACGGATGTACAATTTACTCTCAGCAGTGTTCATGGCTTTGATATTCTAAAGATGGACAAATATTGTACAAGTCAACATAAGCATGTTCAAGTTCATAGTTAGATGTATTTGTACAAATCATCTGTAACAGTAGACAAGTTTATCACACTGCTGTACATAATAATCCTTCATATGTTGGCACACTTGATCTCCATGGCAACTGTTTATGTTGTTGACTGTCCATCAGGTGTCTGTGGTGGTTGTTTGTAATAAGGATCTTTGTGTAACATAATATCATTTAACTTTCTCATAACATCATGTTCTGGTGATATCTTGTTTTTCTACAATTAAAATAAGAAAATTTGAATTAAAGAACAATAATGAAAAGTTTAGCAAATGAATATAATTTTGTATAATCATAAACAATCCTTGTTAGTTTGATAATTTATTTTAGTGATACAATAAGCGAATATTTTAAAAATTGTAAAAGATATTGAAAATATTTCTGATCATAATTTTTTACCCATTTTTATATCTGTATTAAGCAGTCACTCATGAACAGTATCAAAAGTGACCTCTTAAAAGAGAGGTGACAATACTAAATGAGGTTCTGAAAAAAAAATTTGATTACAACATTGCAAATGGCAAATTATTTAGTGTTTTCAAGTGGTAGAGTTATCATTCGTGCGAGCAGACAAATAAAAAATGTGGATTCCAGTACTCCTATTTGAAGAAAACATTCAAAATAGTTAATATTCGTGGAAAATTAAGTCCAATGATACAGTCTTCAATGGAAACTGAAAGGAGTGGAACATGAGAAATTCACAAATTCACATCCTATTGCGAGATCTCGATTACAGACGTATTCCGATTTTCATTTTTATCTCGAAACTGAACATATATATTTTTTCGTCATGATTATATTTTGGTTGTTAACTTCAGACAGGTGACTGCTGAAATGAGTTAAATTATATAGAGAAAACATTTGGGAGGGTCTGAAAGTGACTGTTACAGGCAGGTGACCACTAAAGCAGGTTTGACTGTATATAAATTGATCATGCAATTGTCAGATAATGAATTCAGACAAATGTCTAACCAGCTGTATACATACAAACTTTTAGTAACTCCTCATAAATAAATCAAAATTAATGCCTACACTAATTCTATTTTCTTTGACCTGTGTAACCACTTAATGTTCTGAATAATCAAACTTACTAATAATGCTATTCTCATTAGCCCTGTTCCTCCACTTTTGTTGTCCATTAGTATAGTGGTCTGGTATTGCATCGCTTTTAATAAATTATTCATTCCTGACTCCGCTATTTTGTTACCTGTTACAAAATGATCAATAATAATAGCTTTAAAATATGGAGGATATAAAAGAAGGTATGGGCCATTTTTTTGCTCCTTGAAATTGAAAACCAAATAGTGATATAAATCTAACAAATAAAATCCTTCAGACATTCTTTGGAATACCAATATTTATATTTTTGAATAATGTATAACATACCGGGTATTGGCTTTCAAACTTCTTACATTTAGTGCAAAACAACAAAAACTGCCAAAATAGTCTCATTTTTAGCTCACCTGGCCCACAGGGCCAAGTGAGCTTTTCTCATCACTTGGCGTCCGTCGTCCGTTAACTTTTACAAAAATCTTCTCCTCTGAAACTACCTGGCCAAATTTAACCAAACTTGGCCACAATCATCATTGGGGTATCTAGTTTAAAAAATTTGTCTGGTGACACGGCCAACCAACCAAGATGGCTGCCATGGCTAAAAATAGAACATAGGGGTAAAATGTAGATTTTGGCTTATATCTCTGAAACCAAAGCATTTAGAGCAAATTTGATAGGGGTAAAATTGTTTATCAGGTCAAGATCTATCTGCCCTGAAATTTTCAGATGAATCAGACAACCCATTGTTGGGTTGCTGCCCCTGAATTGGTAATTTTAAGGAAATTTTGCCGTTTTTGGTTATTATCTTGAATATTATTATAGATAGAGATAAACTGTAAACAGCAATAATGTTCAGCAAAGTAAGATCTACAAATAAGTCAACATGACCAAAATGGTCAGTTGACCACTTATGGAGTTATTGCCTTTTATAGTCAATTTTTAACCATTTTTCGTAAATTTTTGTAATCTTTTACAAAAATCTTCTCCTCTGAAACTACTAAGACAAATTTAACCAAACTTGTCCACAATCATCTTTAGGATATCTAGTTTAAATGGTGTCCAATGACCCCGCCCGCAAACCAAGATGGCCGACATGGCTAAAAAATAGTACAAGGATAAAATGCAGTTTCTGGCTCATATCTCTGAAACCAAAGCATTTAGAGCAAATCTGACGAGGATAAAATTGTTCATTAGGTCAAGATCTATCTGCCCTGAAATTTTCAGACCAATCAGGCAACACGTTGTTGGGTTGCTGCCCCTGAATTGGTAATTTTAAGAAAATTTTGCAGCTTTTGGTTATTATCTTGAATATTATTATAGATAGAGATAAACTGTAAACAGCAATAATGTACAGCAAAGTAAGATCTACAACTAAGTCAACATGACCAAAATTGTCAATTGACCCCTTAAGGAGTTATTGCCCTTTATAGTCAATTTTTTTTACAATTTTCATAAATTTTGTAAATTTTTGTAAATCTTTACAAAATATTTTCCACTGTATCTACTGGGCCAAGTTCATTATAGATAGAGATAATTGTAAGCAGCAAGAATGTTCAGTAAAGTAAGATCTACAAACACATCACCATCACCAAAACACAATTTTGTCATGAATCCATCTGTGTCCTTTGTTTAATATGCACATAGACCAAGGTGAGCGACACAGGCTCTTTAGTCAAGTTTAGAGCCTCTAGTTCGATCTTGTCATTAATATTAAGATAATGAGCAAGATATAATGTTATGAAGAAGCATAACTTGTGAATTGTAAAAGTGACACCACCCAAATTTGAAAGTGATCGGAGTTTTGTGGTAATAAGCATTGTGTATAATTTTCATAACATTTGGTTGAGACAAACTAAAGTTAGAGAACGGTCTTTCGAAGACCAAACCTGCATCTGGCATAAAATTTTAAGCCTGGTATCTTTGATAAGGTTTTTTCCATCATAAATCTGGGGCTAACATAACTGTTCAAACTTGTAAACAAAACAAGGTTAAAATAAACTAATTTTTACTTACGAGATAAATTTAAGTTAATAAGGACTCTGTTTCCTGATACCCATAATTGACCGTCAATAAAGTCTGCTACATCAGTCAAGGGATTAACAACTTCTCCACCACTCAAGTCCTTCAAGGTAACAATATTTTGTTAACAGTTAATAAACTAATAATTGTACAGAAAAAACCCAACACATAAAAAAAACATTTCCTTTAATTCATAAAAACAAAGAATCAAACTAAAATATATAATATTATATGCATAGATTCCCCCATATCTTCTGTTTTAAACTGACTAGGTTACAAAAGCTATGAAGAAAACAAATAATAATTTCACTAGATTTCAAGAAATTAGGCAGGTTAATCATGGTAGTTGTAAGCAATGGTAGAACAAAATGGTGGATGATATCTGTACCAAGAGCACCACTGTCAACAAGTTGAACAACATAATTTAAAGATATACTTTATTATTATTAAAAAATTATAGGTTACTCCCACCTCTTGTCAACATACCTCGACTTCCTGTGCAGCTTGTTTGGTTTTGTCTTTACCTTTACCTTTACCCTTATTACCTTTAGTATCTGCTGCTATTGATGCTAAAAATAGACCATAACCATTTATTTCAATTTCAAATAATTCAATTTCAGAATAACACATAACAAATAAGATAAACAAAATAAATAGAAATTATATAAATTTTTCAAATGATTGGAACAGATTCTTTTGAAATCCTGTTAGCATAACTCATATTCCAAAATACTTATACTTAAAAGGATGTGTAATTCAAAACTGTTCTAGTTTAGAGTGAAGACTATTAAACTTTTAATATCATTTCCTACAACAAATAAAATGTGTACTATTTTCTTTGTAACATGACTATAACTTGTCTAACTTTTATAAAACTAACATCCTATTAAATATTCTTTAAAAAACTGAAGTATGAAATAGATGAGTGAATTACTTTGTCAATATTTATTTTGAATTTTAATATGAAAGCTATTTGTCTTTGTTGTTAATTTACCATTTTGATTGATGAAAAGTGAAATAGCTGGAGAGTTTTTCAATCACAAAAACTTTTATCTTATTTCTTCCTAAAATGTATTGGCAATAGTAATAACCCGGTTTGAAAATCTATGACAAAAATACTGATACTTATGATTATATAGACATCTATATGTAGGTATATATGTTCTACCTAACACTGACAAAAACAACATAACTTTATACTTCTTTTTCACCTGAAAAACCCAACAAATTCTATATTACAAAAAAAACCTACTGGTAATATAAATTATAAATTTCATATGAATCTTTCAACTACTCAGAAAAGGTTGTATCAAATTATCTGATTTTAATTCCTAAACTCCATTTTCTTTGCAAATCAATTTTAAGTTATTCATTTGTATTGGATCAATAATGTTATTTGCTCTTCCGCCACAAAGACTGAAATACTGATTGTTGAATACACTATATATATATATATATACTTCAATCCAATTTCCGTAAAAGCTGTAAAATCCAAGATTAAAGCTCCATAAATCTAAATGGGAAGGACTCATTTCTACTGTAACTCTGACTGGTATTTTGTCTACCATTTCTCTCTCTCTTTTAAATCCCATTGCATTTAAAACAAACTAACCATTTAAATTCACTTATTTTCATGTCTTATCACAGTTTTTATCACAAGTCATATTGTCACTTAAGGCAAGATTTCAAAAAATTCATAGTAAACAGATAAATGAGTGCCCCATTCAGATTTTCTCCAAATTCCTGCATAAAAAGCTCTGTTCTGGAAACAACATTGGTCATGCCTTAATTACCAATATAACCAACAAAAATGAACATAGGTTTTAAGCTTTATTATAATGTTACAGGCAAAAATGAGACTGACCACTTTTTACTAGTTGGTTCCAATTTTTAAATGTATTAATTGTCTTTTCATATTTTATATACCCATAACTCATTTACCATTAACAAGCAATTTCCCATCTAATAATTGTATTCTATAAACCTAACCCACAGTAATTGTCTAATATTTTGTGATCTATAATAGTTAATAAATTTATTAATCTAATCTTACCCATGATCAATGGTCTATTTATGTTGAAAACTATAAAATTGAAGAAAAAAGTCTGATAACCAAAGTAATTTTTTAAATTTGTTTGTACATTCATATTTTGATTCTCCAAAAGCATGAAAAGGAAAGAATAGTATGCAACTCTTTATAAAAAAAGTGTCTGTGTTTTGATTTCACTATTTATCCCAAAATTTTTCATTTTACACATTAAAACCAAATAATAAATAAAGTGATCTTAAAAGGTAAAGGGGGGTAACTGTGTACAGGAATGGGAGATAATTTACCACTGAGTGTTGACACAAATCGCAATGCTGCTGTTGTGAAAGAATGTAAAAAAATTGTGAAATAATTCATGGAAAACATATATAAATGTTAAATAAATTTATTATCTTTCCATAGTACAAAGCCACTTTCAAAATGCTGAATACTTTTTTGTATTGAAGTATTCATAAAAATAGACCATAGTGCTGTTTGAGGCTTAAAATGTACTCTCTATTCTATACATAACATTTTAAATATAAAAATAAATGTATCATGCACATCATAAAGTAAATATATGATACATATCCATGATTACAACTACAATTTTCCTGTATTGCAATTAACCAAATTTTAAGTCATAAATGCACCAATGAAAATGACTTTGCAAAATAAATTAAATTCATAATCTCAGAGCATCTTGGAGAAGATCCTGAAGAGACTTAAATGTGCAAAGGAGATAACTTATTACCAGTGGAACCGCTGATGGCTGCCATAAATAGCAGTGAAGCTGTAGTGAAAAACAAAAATTAAAACTATTTATAAAACTTGTAACACAGCAAATCGACAGGTTTTTGTGGTTGATCTGATTTCTGTAAACTGTGCTGAGTCAACTAGGAGAATGGTTCAAGAATGAAAATAAAAAAATAAATTCATTAAAAGTATAAAAGAAAGTCCAACAGAAGGATTGTAGAAAAAATTGAAAACATTTCTGTCAAGACCATGAAAACTGCCATTATTATTTAGAATAATCTGTAAAGACGTCCTTCATCTGATGCAATAAACTATTTTCAAAGTCTTAACATTTTTGCCCATAATTCCAATACTGTGATACAAAGTATATCAGGCAGCAAGCTCATAAACAAAATGTCACAGATAAACATGAATTAGATGAACAATTACAAAAAAAACATGATTTTCATGAACAACTTCTGATAAACACTGAAATTATTTTCAACTATTTCACTGTCTTATTACTTTAAACAGGTTTTTTTGGCATCTGGTTTTGTTTGCAGTTTGGGCCTTAGATGGGGCAGCTTAATCTTTGCTGTGTTCATAAATTGTGCTTTATGTCTTTATACATTGTATTTGAATGAACAGTCAAATGTTAAGTAAGGTAAATATTGCGGTAAAATGTTTACTGTGAAAAATACCTTGTAGCAAAAATAATTTCCAATATATGGTATAACACTGACAGTCAGTCTGAAAGTTTATTGACAATTTTCTCACACTGTGTTTCTCATGGTAAAAACTGAATGCAAACACAATCATTAACATTAACATTCCTCTTAAAATTAAAAGTAAAAGATATTTATTTAACTTGTAGTGGCTGAAAGAAAAAACATATGCAAATTGCACAATTAATCTTTCAAGTAATATAATACACAAACTTACACATAATTCTGTATTGAAGAGATACAAGATATACAGATACCTCACATGCAGAAGTAAAGTGACAGGAAAATTATGAAAGAATGAGAGAAGAAAGACAACATGCTATTCCTTTATCAATTTTACAACACTACATGAGTACTTTAAGCATGCAATTAACATGGGTCATCATTGAGGGCTTGAAAATGACATGCATAGCCGTGAGCTGAGTACCATTAAGTGTTTAGAATTGGAATTACTATTATTTCTTTTTATTTTCTCTCAATCATATTAACCCTTACAATGTTGAATTGTTTACCCAAAATAAGTTTGCAAAAATATGCAAATTATATGCAAATCAGCTATACCTTGCTGCTGCAGCATAATGGTAATTATATTAAGGTCAGAGGTTATCCAGAATAAGGTGGGAAGTGGTGAGGAAGAGGAGTAGGTTGATAGGATCGTATCCTAAAAGATAAGTATCTAATGGAAAACAGTTGTTTTCTCTGATTTCTGATATAAAACCTGATGGTACAATCTTTTTAAGTCGTGACGCCCAGAGAATGGACCTTGGGTAGTATCTGTCCACCTAAGAGCTATCACTAAAAGAAATAGACCCACTCTTCACTAGTCTAAGGAGGCCATTTTGGTAAAAAATGGCTACAAGTTTTTAAAGATTTTATACTTAACTTTGTCATTAAAACCGAAAGTAGTCATTCCAAACACTTATAACAGATGTAATTGAAATGTATTTCATTATGTCAAGAACAATTATTGACTTCTCACTTGCTTACCCTTCATGTGTCATCATAAAAAGTTCAGTCCATTTCCACCAAAAAAGGCCACCAAGCAGACCCATAAATAACAAAAAACAAAAATAAAACATAAAACTCTGCTTGTTGCATCAAATAGTTCCCCCACCCACCCAAAAAACAAAAATATTTTTAAATTTTCAGAGAATCGCCATGTCATTCCTATAGAAACAGGACTAAGGGTCTTTGATTTCATGAATAGACAGATTGAAGAAAAGATGTGAAAAGGATCAATTATAGACCATGCATTTTCTTTAGATGTACGTACATTGTACTGTTAGCTAGAATAGAAGTTAAGCTGCATACATTGGTATCATTTCAGAATAAGTCATTCTTCAAACTACAGAAATTTTCCCATATCTGATCCTTTTGTTTGATAATTTCAGGTTAGCATGAACTCCTAATGGATAACAATGATCCTTTAAGCTAATAAGTTCCGTTCTTAGAATTGTTTAGTTAAAACTTCATAATCTTATACTGAGAATACCCAAATTTATATAGATCTATACCGGTAAATTTTTTATGCTTGATGAACAATTCTTTACAATGATCCTTTAAGCTAATAAGTTCCGTTCTTAGAATTGTTTAGTTAAAACTTCATAATCTTATACTGAGAATACCCAAATTTATATAGATCTATACCGGTAAATTTTTTATGCTTGATGAACAATTCTTTACAAACTATCTTTGGCAATGGCCTCAGTGTAAAATTGTTTAAAGAATGACTGTTCAATTAGTTCTACCAAGTTATCTCCCCTGTACATGCACAACTCACCTCCTGAACTGCGACCTCCGACAGTTCCACTTTTATCGCCTTCATAAAATTTATGAAATTATGTTAATTGAAAATTTGATGATTTAAATACTGGTAATTGGATGCTCCTTACCTTTCTGGTCAGTCTTACTTTAGATATATTATGTACAAATGTTCTTGCAAACAGTCAACTTTATTTACAATAGTATATTTTGATTAAAAAACAAACTGATGGGTGCTGAGATCAAAATTTTTCAGGTGAGCTTCAGGTCATTTTAACACAGTGTCTTGATATTCGAAAAGTATGTGAGAAATCTTGATCTCAGTAAGTATCAATTTTATTTTTTTTTTAAATCAGATTATTTCATAACATATCTGATAAATTACAAGCAAGTTTATTCAATTTCAGATTTGATCAGATGTAGAACTATAAATTTCATTGTTCTAAATCTGACACCCAAACATAAATATGAAACTTCAATATAATATGCACAATAATGTATTTTGACATTTTTTTCAAAGGACTGCCAGGTTATATCAAAAGACTAGGCACATAATTAGGCTTAAAGAAGCCTTTAATAATGAATTTTTAATCTGCATATGAAATATCTGAAATAGAATTCTTACTTACTTCATGGATGTTTTATAGCAAGGAAGAGTTCAATTTTTTATATTTTAAAACAAACATCACCTGGGATAATATATAAAGCTAAAGGAACTATTTATACATGTAGATGTAGTTGTTTTTGGTTGCATTTCTTTTCAAATGAAAAATATAGGACTTGACTAAAACAATTGAAATTTAACTATAAATATTATTAAACATGTTATTGCTGTTCCAATAAAACAAACATAGGGTCAAATAAAGGAACTTTGAAATGTCACATTTCTATGGGTAGGTGTGGAGTACAGTGAAAAGTAAGAGATATTCTAAATATCTCTTACTAAGTGGTTACCCCATTTTGAAAGTGCCTTCCCTGAGTACCATGAATGTTTAAATGGACCAGACTTTAAATTAATGGATATCAAATAAAATGCTGAAATGCAGATTAACTATCAAAATGTAATAGAAGTATTCTAGCATGAGGAATATAATTGTTTAAAAATTGCATTGAATTATTGTTCACTTCAAAATGAACTGAAATTTAAATTGGTATTGACTTACAAGATATGAAAGATAGTGATATATTGTTGGCTTTGTAACAACAGAAAGAGAAATTATCATGATTTAAACAAAGAAAATTAATAATCCAATGAAGTTTAGATTGTATTAAACTTGTGGAAAAATGCAACCATAATCAAAATGTGCTTTTTCTGGTTCCATTTTTGTTGATTTTGTATAGTAAAATAACAACTACAAGAAACCAGTTTCAACATTGTGCTTTCTAAACATATATAATTCTGAAATATTTTCTGGTTATAAATAACTGAATATAATTGCAAGTATTAAAAAGAAAAGAAGTTCTCATTAATCAAAGCAGGAGGAAAATACCAGAGTTACAAATTTCAACACATCAAATAAATCTTATTTCTGTTCAATATTTCACAAGTCAGTTATTTCACCTTCAGCTTGTTCTTTTAAGCTATTATTTCATGAATTTTTTCTTCCATTTCTATACTAAGGGCATATCCTAGAGAAGTGATAGGGTACCTGCATAGGGCATTTGCATTTATATCTTAGAAAAGGTGAATTACACAGCATTCTTAATGACCTCCCTGTATCTACCACTAATGCTAAAGTAGTGAGCACATGTTTAGTAAACTGTTGAAATTTGTAACCCCAAGTATTGATTGACTAGTCTGTGATTACAAAATTATTGAGACTATGAAAATACCTTTTCATGGTTTTCAAATAAAAATATACCTAGGTTTTTGAGAATCAAAAGGTTGATTGTGTCTGTAATGTTAGTTTTATGGCTACCAGTCAAAGGGGAACAACTGTTATCAAATCTTTAACTTTTTTGCTCATAGAATCTGTATCATTTATAGTTATATTTGTAATTTACAGTGATATAAAAACCTTAACCAAATGTAATCAACAAAGTAATCAGTTTAACTGTGAGAAAAAGGAGCATTTAATTTTGTGGTATTCAAATTACTTATCTTCTTATTTGGTTGAAACTGTTTTTATACAGATTTTATATGTTTTTACAAAAATCAACAAAATGTTACTGGTATTGTGTAGACTAATCCTTTTTTGTAAATTACATATCTGAGAGCATCATTAAGAAATCCCTTATATACACATTCATTATTTATCTCAAGCTATTTAGTTAATTCTTACTAAATAGAAATGCATGAAACTATATTCTTTCTTTTTACAATGGAAAAGATATTAAATGTATTTCTTTAAATTCAACACAGAACAAAAAGGAATTTAATTCCAAAATCTAAAAGGAAAATTCAACTCTACAGGAACAAAAAATTCCAGAGAAAATCACAGACTAGAAAATAATGCACACAGTATTTCTTCTGGCATCTACAAAAATAGGCTGAAAGAAAGCTTTTGGTATTTCATTCTGTATATAGCAAAGATATATATAGTTGTTGAGATTAACCTTTTGTTCCTCGTGATTCTGAAGAAAAAGATACAGTAACTATTTAGTATTAAAAAAACAAATCAAACATTTCGAATTTCTATTAAAGTGTCAAAAATACACAAAAAAAAACAATTTGTAAATTGTGAGCTAATTTTCTCCTGTTCTATTAAAGTGCCACACACACGAACTAAAGACAATGTGATTTAATTAAATTCAGTTTCACAATTATAAACTTCATAAAGTCAACTTCCAACGTTAACATGACTTTTGTTGTCATGACAACCTACCTTTCTTTGTTAGTGTCTTGTCTTCCTTTTCTTTCTTTTTGGTCTTGTCATGTTTCTCTTCCTCTTTAGCATCTTTACCCTTAGGATCCTATTAAATAATATTTCTTTTATTGACTTTGACATAAAATAACAATTCTAATTTGGTTTCAATTGCAAGTAAGCTGTTGAAATTCAATTTACTATGAAATTACAAGAAATTGTATGATTAGAAAAAAAATTAACTCGCATTATTGTTTTGTTGGGTCTCTTGGAAATTTTTTTTCACATCATTACTACAAGGACTTGTTTTATATGAATTAAGGTTATGAAATTTGCAACAATACACACATTAGCTATTTTCATTTTTGGATTTTCTAACCTTTTTCAAAAACATAAAACTGACTATTTATCAACTTAAAAACTTCTCTTGGTGATTATACATGTACCAAGTCAGGAACAAGGCACTTGTTTTTCACTTTTTTCATTGATTGATAGGGTTAGATTTTGTCAGTTTTTATGGACTTCCCCTTTTTTGAATTTGCCTTGGAGTTCAGTATTTTTGTTATACTTTTTTACCTTTTTCTTAGCTGATGCTTTGCTTCCTTTCTTATCTTTATCCATATGTGATTGACTTCTGACACTTGCTGGTCTATCTTTGGAACCATCTCTCCTACTTCCTGGTGGCTGTTTCAAAAATAGGGGGATATTGAGTCACATTTGTATAAACTTATTTCAATGTTTAACCAGAAAAACAGATATTTTTTTTTGAGAAATGATTGAAGTACAAACTAAAATTTGTATTAATAAAATATATAATGTATTTTTAGGAATAAGTTGACAGTTAAATGTAATTACACAACAATCATCGCACATCTTCTTATTTTTATATTGTTTTTTGACCGGAGAAGCACCTTGCCCAATTAATAAATAAAATAAGTAGCTCAATAAACATATTTGCTTCTTAGTTATATGAGAACAAAACAATGTTTAGAATAGACATTCCTTTTTAAGACGATAAAATCAAGCCTTTATTATCATAGGCATTCATTTTAAAGAGGAAAAAACTTATTTTCTCCCTGAACAAAAGTGTCTTTTTGAGCAGGTTTGAGGAAACCTGACATTTTGTTCTATTAACTGGACAAGACTAATCAATAAATAAATACAGGAGGTGCTTAACTACACATGGTATGACTAAAATTCAGTCCACTTTGGTTCCATTAAATCTAATGTAACTTGGAGAACATTTATTTTGACAAATACGTAAATGGACAAAGACATGACCAAAAACAAAATGTCTTCTTTTATAATTAAATTGTATGAGTTCTCCAAGGAAGACGTGTGTCACCTGCTGTCTCTGAATACTACAAGCAGAAATTGTAAAGTCCATGATTCATTATAAGTACCCCATAAATCGCTCAGATAAAAAAATGAAATAGTAGGTATACTTCTTCATGTCCTTGAGAAGAATCTGTACAAGTTTGGTGGAATTCTTTCAAGCCATTTTCAAGGATTTGTGGTGTAACAAACTGATATACTGTGGATTCATTTATTTTCGTGGGTACCAATTTTCGTGGATTAAGGAAAACTTACATTTTCGTGGATATTTAATTTCGTGGTTTTTGACAATGTCTGCATACAAACCTATAGTAAATTTGCCATTCGTTGAACATTCAATTTCGTGGTTAACCTATAATCACGAAATCCATGAAAATTGGTATCCAACGAATAATAATGAATCCACAGTAAGCAGAAATGGGTAAGTTCATTTTTTGGTTCTGTAAAAACCAAAAATCACTTAGATCAACAGTTATATTAGCAGGTGGATATCTTCATGTCCTCTAGAAGAATATGTTGCAAGTTAGGTTGAATTCTGTTGAAACGATTTTCAAGAAATTTAGTATTAACAAAGTGTAACCCAGATGATGATGCAAGACCAAGAGTGACAACAAGAAGTGATCCATATGTGTCACTTGTTACAGCTGCATGCTTCAATAATAATGAGATACAGATACTAGTGACTAACAGCATTAATGTACTGTAGGGACACTCATGCTTACTTACAGATTTATTCCTTTCTGGGAAATCTTTTTCAGAAAAGTGTTTTCTTCTTTCTACCACTTCTTCATGTGTTAGAGGAAATCGTGATAAAATCTGTAAATATACAAAAATTAAAAATCTTTATTCATATCTACAGAATAATAAAATATCTTATTTAATTACTACTAGACTTTCCTGTTTTATATGTTGATGAGATTTTCCAACATTTTTTTTTCTAAAAAAAAGCAACAATCATAATGGTCAATTATATCAACTACTGTTAATTCAGAAATTTTTAAGTACATTCATTTATTGGCATTGTTGAACAATGAATCAAAATGTGAGATGAATTTTAAAATTTCAGAAAATAATGCATACAAATAATGCTATCAAAATTTTTAAATGCTAGTTTATATTTTTGCGAAACCAGTTTATATTTTTGTCAGAATTTTCACAATAAAAAAAACATCACAAAATTTTTTGATTTTACAGTATTCTGGAATACACACTTACTATCCTGAGAAATTTTGACACAATTCAGTGAGCCAGTCGCATAGCCATTTGTGGACAGAACAAATAAATACCATAAAGTATTAATCATAATGGCAGGATGAGTTGATCTGTACATTTTAAAATCTAATGGCAAAACCCAGTGCATTGCATTATTAGGAATATTTATTTGAAAGGTGTTGATATAAAACTGTTTCCAAAGATTACACCTGCAGTTTGAATTATCAACTTCACATTTGATTTAACAGAAATGTTTGATGGTACTATATATATATATCCTGAACAGATGTAGAAGATAACGTCACACAATTTGACATCGCTATGACATACTCAATAACTAGCAAAATATTCATCTAGAAGAAATAGTAGATGTGCAAATATTTACCTCTGCAATTTTAGAAGCACCTTTATCTCCAATGAAATTGGATGCTAATGACAGAGACATTAGATTTCTGTTCATACGTAAACCCTGAAAAACAAGAACATTATTACTGCTTAATCCTGTAATTTGAAATTTCCTAAAAGTAATTTTGTCATACAGCCTTTTCCTAAAAACTTGAATTATATTTTTGAATACATAAATTTATTTTCTAAAAAATTAAATCATACTAATTCATTTATAAATTCATTTATTAAATAACTTTTTGTGACATCAATTTTCATAGTGGTTCCATTTTTCTTTTACCAAAAAAGTATTTTGTTTTGGCCACTGTCCAGTGATGCAGCTAATCGTTGGACCTGTCGGATGTAGGGGGCAGAATTTTAGATGGTCTGGCAAATGACTTCTTTGTGTCAGACCCAAGGTTGGCAAATATTTTTAATGTTTGGGGCCGTCGAAATTGAAATTTTTGTTGGTCCTGGTAACCTTGGCTTCGAAATAACCTAGACATCATTGAGATGGGATCCATCTCTGTGGGCCTGCTGACCTTGAACTTTCACCTAGGAAGTTGTACAAACATTATGACACACCCTCTGGTGTTGGTTAATATACATGTCAAGTATAAAGTATGAAATTATAACAGTTCTCTAGATACAGTGACACATTTATTGCCGGTAATAGGTAAACGTGCTGATGTAAACCGACTTCGATCTTCTCTGCATTTATCCAATTAGCGTAAGTCATGTGATCATAATTATTTTCCTATTTCTCTGAACTTATCATTACACACAGCAATGAATGAAAACGAAAGTATATTTCCAAAAAAAAAATTGAATAGAAGCATGTTTTCAGCTTCCATGCATCCATGGTGCGAATACATTACCTTAACTAGAACATTGTTAGTACGAAAAACACAAGTTTCATCTCCATATGACAAACCAGTGGTGCATGAATTAAAACAGTTGGAACAATAGATGGCCAAATCAGTTTATGTAGTTGAAAAGCATTGAAAACCAAAAGTTCTATTAAGGAACAACTAATGTTGTAACGACCAGATTTAAGTAAATTAAATTAAACAAAAACAAGTATTATTTTAGTTTTCTAAGAGTGTTCTTATTCATTTTAGTTAATGTGTGAACACATATAATCGTTTTGTTGTAAATGTAGCTTGCCACTATCTTTGTTTTTGATATAAAACTATCCATAAAGTTAATGGATAGTTTTCTCATTGGCAAGTGTAGAACAACATTCTCATTTATTTATTTGATTTTGCAGGATAATTTAAATTAAATGTGGTCTCAGTCATTAAACCATCCCATGGTCATATCCTTATTTAACATAGTCGTTCTAGTCAAGGTTTTTAAGGGGTATCTTAATCCAACTGGGAACTAGTTATTATTTTAAAAAATAAGTAGGTCTGGCAAACAGTTGATAGGACTGGCAAAACTGTCTTACATGTAGGACCCAATGTCTGATAGGAAAAAAAAAATATCTGCATCTGACTATCTATATATTTATATGTTGATTTTTATCAGTTAATACATTAATTATGACGATAAAAAGGCCTTGATGCAAACAGAACTTAATTAATCATAGATCAGGCATTTGGTTTTTTCTTTTTGATTGATTCACATCTTTATTAGCTTACTATAGGGCATGGTTTTGTTTATTGTTGAAGGCAGTACAGTGCCTATAGTTGTTTATATCTATGTCCTGGTGACTCTGGTGGATCGTTGTTTCATTGGTATCCATACTACATCTTCTCATTTTAGACCAAAACATTTCCAATAACTTACTAAAGCCAGATGTTCAGCACCAACATCTGTAATTCTATTTCCTGACAGGTTCAGAGAGATAAGCTTCGTATTACATCTCTTTGTACTTCCTAAAGCTTGACCAATCTGTTCTGCTCCTTTATCTGTAATCCCACAGTGACGCAATGACAAATTCTGTATACTGGAATGGCATAATGCAATAAAATTATTAAACAGAAAACACTTAACAGCAACCAATCAACAACAAAATTTTCACAATACATTACCACTATAAATTCTAACAAATAGTAATAAGACATTTTTCATTTAATTCTAAACCACGCTCAGAAAAAAAAACTCTCATAAGTGATGAATATGGCATGAGGAACCCACAAAAAATCATTATATATCAAGAAAAACTTTTTAAGATATCACACAAAGGCTATAAAAACTCTCTCATTTTCATGCATTTTGATTAAATATTGAATTCTTCCAGCTCTTGTGATCAGTGAAATGACGATTTTAATCACTGTGATATGCTATATAAATTCATTTATCAAGAGTAAAATATTATATTATTTAGAACAAAATGCAATAAAAATTTTACAGAAAAAATATCACGTATCGTAGTCCAATAACAGTTTCCAGATCTGACATGGAATAAATCCATACATGATCAGAATAAAACTTACATAATGTATTGGTGATAGAGTATTGTACTCTGTACAAATAAATGTCCACAAGTGAATTATTAACACAACTCAGGCTAAAAGTTCCAAAAAGTTAGCTATTATTTAGATTTTAGTTCACTAGTAACTTTTAAAATTCTTAATGAAATTTAAATTCTCACATATGATATTATTTTCAATATTTATGATAACCTGTATTGCATGCTTAATGTTACAGAAAGAAGTAAACTTACGGACTTTCTTCTCCCATTAATTCATGCCAATTTTCTTCTACAACAGTATTACCGTCTAAAACAAGGTTTCTGAAATAACATAATTATTTTTATATTTCTACTTAATACAACTATCAAGCAAATAACATGCACAAGAAAACCTGTAGTCCAATGGCTTTTAAAATCCTCCCGTGAGTTGATATAAGTTTGTAATTCAAACAAATTTAGACTGCTGAACAATTTATTTGAATTATTTCATGATTATTGTCAGCACTTTTCATGATACCTTAATTTGTGGTTGTTGTTTGTACTCTTTTGAAGGCAATCAAATAATATTCAGATGTTTACTTTTCTTTTCAAGCTACCTAATATGGGTTGTTGTTTCACTGAAATCCTTTCCATATCTAAGAGCAGTAAAACCTTTTTGCTCAATGTTTGTGGCTTGGGTGTCTTACTGATAAAGACATACATGTAGTGATATCTGAAGACATCATATATAACCAAACCATGCAAAATTATTGAACTGATAAATGTCTTTGTTTTATCTCACTCCCCACATTTATATTATTTAAGAATCAGGTTTGACGTGAACAGTAAGAAAGAATTTTTTTATGAATGTTACCTCATTTCTGGTATCTCTGTAATTGTAGAAGCAAGAATCGTAATTACTTCCCCTGACAGCCCACAATTCCACAAACTGAAAAAAGAACCGAATTTAAACATTATTTCCATACATCTATATTTCTGTGTACTATTGTTAAATGTGTCTGTATATTTAAAATTCGTTTTTCTTTATGTTTGTAACTGTGTTTAATAATCCTTCAATAATCAGCAGGGCTGCCAAGTCTCATGCAATTAGCGTGAGACTCACACATTTTCATGCTTATTTGGCTGCATTTTCCTTTGATCTATTGTTTTTTTCTCTTTGATCTTTACAATTTTGGCCAAATCTCACTCATTTGCTTCATGAATTCTTGGCAGTTCTGAATCAGGGTTGTTCCAAAATCAGTCATGGTGGGGGGAATGGAAGGCACTCAAATTAATTAATTGTGGGTGGTTGCATTTTTCTTATAAATTTGTAAGAATTATAAGCGAAATAAAAAATTTGTATCATGAGTGCTGGGTTTTGAAAAAAGTGATTCCCATGGGATTAAAGAGTCATAGTACAACAAAAAATAGATCAAAGAATCAAATCGGCAGGTTGTGCAGAATGTTTTTTGAACAATGGAGAATATTTGAACAATTAAATATTTGAAGAATGACTAAGTTCCCAAGTCATGAAAAATGAGAAAAAAATCCTTAAACAATTCCACAGGTGTACAATTTCAACATATATGCAACCTTCCTGTCAAGTTTCATGGATCTGGTTGAAAACTGTAGGAGGAGTTGATTACACAAAACTTGTACCCTCTTTCAAAAATTTTGCTGAAAAATGACTGAAGTTCCCAAGTCTGGAAAAATGAGAAAAAAATTCCTTAAACAAGTCCATAACAACAGGAACACAACTTCAACATATAAGTAATCTTACTGTGAAGTTTTAGGGCTCTGAGTTGAAAACTGTAGGAGGAGTTGATAGTACTAACTAGGTATACATAGTTGACAAACTTCTTATAGTGAGGGTCTCTGAGGAGAGAGCTCATGTTTTAGATGTATATTGTCCAATGCTTGCAAAAAACTAAAACAATTAATGAGACACCGAAATAGAAATTTTAAACAAACAATAAGTGATAACTAATTAATTTGAAATAAAATGCTCCGCTGGGGCGCAGCTTGATACGACCGCAGAGGTCGAACCCTGAACAGTTGGGGCAAGTATGGACACAACATTCAAGCTTGATACAGCACTGAATTTGGATTGTAATTAAATATTTGACACAGCATAGGTTTCTGACACAGAATGAAAGTGGTCTAAGAACTTAAAAATTTTTAATTTACCTATTCAAACCATATCATTATTATTTGCTTTTTTATATAAATCAGAAATAACCAATTTAAAATGGAAAATTCTAAAGAAAAAAAAGGGAAAAAAATCCCCCCCCCCAAATTTTTTGAACCCCCTTATGATTCATCACTCCAAAACTCAATCCCAGCCTTCCCTTGGTAGTATGGTACCTTGCAGTACAATTTCAGAGAGATCCATACACTTGAACACAAGTTATTGTCTGGAAACTAGAAAAATGCTTGTTTTTTTTGCCCCTTTTTTTGCCCCAAATTCCTAAACGTTTAGGGCAATTACCCCCAAACTCAAAACCAGCTTTCCCTTTGTGATATGGAACCTTGCAGTACAATTTCATAAAGATCCATACACTTACACACAAGTTATTGTCCTCAAACTAGAAAAATGCTTGTTTTTTTGCCCCTTTATGGCCCCTTATTGCTCAAATTTTGAGGGAATACCACCAAAATCAATCCCAGCCTTCCCTTTGTGGTATGGTACCTTGCAATACAATTTCAGAGAGATCCACACACTTGAACACAAGTTATTGTCTGGAAACTAGAAAATGCTTATTTTTTGCCCCTTTTTGGCCCCTTATTCCTAAACGTTTTGGGCAATTACCCCAAAAATTCAATTCCAGCTTTTCCTTTGTGATATGGAACCTTGTAGTACAATTTCATAAAGATCCATACACTTACACACAAGTTATTGTAATGAAACTAGAAAAATGCTTGTTTTTTGCCCCTTTTTGGCCCCTAATTCCTAAAATTTTGAGGCAATTACCCCCAAAATCAATCCCAGCATTCTTTTTGTGATATGGAACCTTGTGGTACAATGTCAGAGAGATCCATACACTTACACACAAGTTATTGTCATGAAACTAGAAAAATGCTTGTTTTTGCCCCTTTTTGGCCCCTAATTCCTAAAATTTGGAGGCAATTACCCCCCAAATCAATCCCAGCATTCCCTTTGTGATATGGAACCTTGTGGTACAATGTCAGAGAGATCTATACACTAACACACAAGTTATGTCTGGAAGTTACAAAAATGCTTATTTTTGGCCCCTAATTCCTTAACTGTTGGTACCATAACCCCCAAAATCAATCCCCACCTTCCTTTTGTGATATTGAACCCTGTGGTAAAATTTCATAGAGATCCATTCACTTAATCTATAGTTAGAATGCGAAAACCAATGCGTCTTCGGACGACTATGACGACAACGCCATATCAATATACCACAAAATTTTTTTGCGGTCGTATAAAAATTGTTAAAAATTGACTTTAAAGGGCAATAACTCCTTAAGGGATCAATTGACAATTTTGGTCATGTTTGACTTATTTGTAGATCTTAATTTGCTGAACATTATTGCAGTTTACAGTTTATCTCTATCTATAATAATATTCAAGATAATAATCAATAAAATGCTTCGCTGAGCGCAGCTTGATACGACCGCAGAGGTCGAACACTGAACAGTTGGGACAAGTATGGACACAATATTCAAGCTTGATACAGCTCTGAATTTGGATTGTGATTAAATATTTGACACAGCATAGGTTTCTGACACAGAATGAATGTGGTCTAAGAACTTAAAAAAATTTAATTTATCTATTCAAACCATATCATTATTATTTGCTTTCATATATAAATCAGAAATAACCAATTTAAAATGGAACATTTTAAACAAAAAAAAAGGAAAAAAAGGAAAAACAAATCCCCCCCCCCTCCAATTCGTTCAACCCCCTTATGATTCATCACCCCCAAACTCAATCCCAGCCTTCCCTTTGTGGTATGGTACCTTGCAGTGCAATTTCAGGGAGATCCATACACTTGAACACAAGTTATTGTCTGGAAACTAGAAAAATGCTTGTTTTTTGGCCCCATTTTGGCCCCCAATTCCTTAACGTTTAGGGCATTTACCCCCAAACTCAAACCCAGCTTTCCCTTTGTGATATGGAACCTTGAAGTACAATTTCATAAAGATCCATACACTTACACACAAGTTATTGTCCTGAAACTAGAAAAATGCTTGTTTTTTGCCCCTTTTTTGCCCCTAATCCCTAAAATTTTAGGCAATTACCCCCAAAATCAATCCCAGACTTCCCTCTGTGGTTTGGTACCTTGCAGTACAATTTCAGAGAGATCCATACACTTGAACACAGTTATTGTCTGGAAACTAGAAAAATGCTAAATGTTGGCCCCTTTTTGTCCCCTTATTCCTTAACGTTTTGGGCAATTACCCCCAAACTCAATTCCAGCTTTCCCTTTGTGATATGGAACCTTGTAGTACAATTTCAGAAAGATCCATACACTAACACACAAGTTATTGTCATGAAACTAGAAAAATGCTTGTTTTTTGCCCCTTTTTAGGCCCCTAATTCCTAAAATTTTAAGGCAATTACCCCCAAAATCAATCCCAGCATTCCCTTTGTGATATGGAACCTTGTGGTACAATGTCAGAGAGATCCATACACTAACACACAAGTTATGTCTGGAAGTTACAAAAATGCTTATTTTTGGCCCCTAATTCCTTAACTGTTGGTACCATAACCCCCAAAATCAATCCCAACCTTCCTTTTGTGGTATTGAACCTTATGGTAAAATTTCATAGAGATCCATTCACTTAAACTAAAGTTAAGAGTGCGAAAACCAATGTGTCTTCGGACGTCGACGACGCCAACGTCATACCAATATACAAATTTTTTTGCGGTCTTATAAAAACTGCAAAATTTCCTTAAAATTACTAATTCAGGTGCAGTAACCCAATAACGGGTTGTCTGATTCATCTGAAAATTTGATTGCAGATAGATCTTAACCTGATGGACATTTTTTCCCCATGTCAGATTTGCTCTAAATGCTTTAGCCAAAAACTGCATTTTACCCCTATGTTCTATTTTTAGCTATTTTTTAAAATTTGTCTCAGTAGTTTCAGAGTAGAAGATTTTTGTAAAAGTTAACGACGACGACGGACGACAGACGCCAAGTAATGAGAAAAGCTCACTTGCCCCTTCAGGCCAGGCGAGCTAAAAATGGTTGTGAAGTAGCTGACTACATATTGTTTCTATCAGCCATGGTTTTTTCTATCTATTTTAACTGATTGTTTGATCATGTTTCCGTATCTGTAATTTGAACTCTTTATATATATACGGAATTATTTAAATAACCGTAAACCGATGTGACTTACTTGATGGTATGTAATTTTGCCATCTTGGGCCAGCACTGCTTAAATATCTCCATTATGGGTTCAACTATTTTCCAACCTAAAATAAACAATATTAAGGAAAGTGTATCATAAACTGATCAAGTGATCAATATAAAACACTAAAAGGTCTCAGAAAAAATATAGTTGTCAGTTTAAGAAGTCCATTCATGTGAATCGTTTCATGATGATGTTCAATGATCTAGATGTTCTTTATTATAACATTTTTTTTCAATATGCTACCTTTACTAAGTACAAGTTAATCTTATTCCAAGAATTTTTTTTCTTTTCTCAAGAGTTTATTCATTCTCCTCGACATGATACTGCAACCTTTACTACAGGGCAACAATAATTTCTTGGGGTAACAATCTGCTCTATCACCCTCTCAGCTATGTATTATTCATATCATATTCACATCATAATGAACATGTGTGCTAAGTTTCAGGATGATGTGACCACAACCTCATAGTAAACTACCGTAAACCAAATTTAAATCTGAGGTGTTCTGAATTCAGACTATCACATTTCAATGTTAAGTGAACAACAAAATCTGGGTCAAAACCCTCATTTTGCATATAAATTTTGTAACGTGACTTCAACTTCACATCAAACTTACCTTAAACCAAAACTATAACCTGATAAGGGACAGACGAATGGACACAGACCAGAAAACATTATGCCCTCTAATACGCAGGCGAAGATATGCTAGTTTTTATAATGTATACTAAAATTTACCTCTAATGTAAATTTCAGTCACTGTGTCTGGTTTATCAAAGTTTTCCATTTCTACTTGTACACTAGGTCTGAAGTATTCAAATTTGTCTTTCATTGTAAATGTCTTTGGTGGAGCTTCCACTCCTTCTGTTAAATAGACGAACTTTGTTGTAATAAATCTTAATATTCTAATGAATTATAAATTCTAAATACATGATGAATTCTAGCATCTTTCTAGATGCTTTGCAACATTTTCACATTTTTTAAAAATAAAATTCTAAAACTTTTAATAAATGTATGCTTAAGCTATGTATATGTGTGATTCAATGTAAATAAAATATCCTATCAAGTCTCTCTTACTTTTGTCATTTTGATTTAGATTTAGATAAATTTTTAAAAGCTTTAAGATAACAAAACCTCTAATAGAAAGAGTAATGTATTTATTATTAAAGGCAAAGAAAACAAGAGGCTCTCAAGAGCCTGAATCGTTCACCTGTAATTTTTGGCTTAAATATTTCATCAATGATTATTTTTTGCTTTTCAATATATATTAATGAGTGGTTTAAAAATGCCATTTAAATGTTCTTTGTATCTGTCATATTTTCTTCAAAAGCAAAAAAAATGCATTTTACCCCTATGTTTCATTTTAGCCATAGTGGCTATATTTCTTGACGTACAAAGAAATAAAATACAAAATTTATACAAGATACTCTGAAACTCATTCAGCCCAAGTTTGGCTGAAATTGATTTAGCAGTTTCAAAGGAGAAGATTTTCTAAAGTAAGCAAACTAGATTAGATGAACAAATTGTGAAAAATTGTCTTTAAAGGACAATAACTCCTTAAGGGGTCAATTGACAATTTTTGTCATATGAAATTTATTTGTAGATCTTACTTTGCTGAACATTTTTGCTGTTTACAGTTTATCTTTATCTATAATAATATTCAAGATAATAATCGAAAACTGCAAAATTTCCTTAAAATCATCAATTCAGGGGCAATAACCCTAAAAATCAGATACCTGATTTGGCTGATAATTTCAGGGTAGGTAGACATTGACGTAATGAATACTTTAACATTCTTGTCTGATTTGCTCTAAATGCTTTAGTTTTTGAGATATAAGCCAAAAATTGCATTTTACCCCTATGTTCTATTTTTAGCCATGGCGGCCATGTTTTTTGACGAAACAGAAAATAAAACACAAACTTTATTCTAGATACCCTAAGGATCATTCAATTTAAGTTTAATTGGAATTGGTTCAGTAGTTTCAGAGGAGATTTTTTAAAGTTAGAAAACATGATAAGCAAATTGTGTAAAATTGTCCTTAAAGGGCAATTACTCCTTAATAGGTCAATTGACAATTTTGGTCAAATAAAAATTTATTTGTAGATCTTACCTTGCTGAACATTTTTGCTGTTTACAGTTTATCTTTATCTATGATAATATTCAAGATAATAACCAAAAGCTGCAAAATTTCCTTATAATTACCAATTTAGTGGCAGCAACCCAACAATGGGTTGTTAGATTCATCTGATTCAGGGCTGATAGAACTTGACCTAATGAACATTTTTACCCTGTCAGATTTGCTCTAAATGCTTTGGTTTTTGAGATATAAACCAAAAACTGCATTTTACCCCTATGTTCTACTTTTAGCCATGGCGGCCATGTTTTTTGACGAAACAGACAAACTTTATTCTAGATACCCTAAGGATCATTCAACTTAAGTTTGGTTGGAATTGATTCAGTAGTTTCAGAAGAGAAGATGTTTGAAATAGTTTACACCGGACGGATGACGGCGCCGGGTGATGGCAAAAGCTCACAGTTCCTTCGGAACGGTGAGCTAAACATTTAGTGGTATTTCAGATTGTTATGAAGTTTTGCATGCATTTAGAAATTGTTAAGCTACATCTGGTTATCGAAAAATGGATACATGTTGTATTTATAGTTTAAATTTGTGAAATAAATCTATAAATGTATAGACTGCTTGTAAAAATTGACCAAAAAATGCATTTAAAAAAATCTAAACTGCTATTTCTCAATTTCCATCCACCGAATTTTGGGCCTTCTTTTAACTTAAGGTTCCCTGCACATAAGTGTTAAGTTATGGTTTGTTTAAGCTTAGGGTTCATTTTAGGTTAGATCAAGTTTAGTTTAGCTCATATGGGTACTGATGAGTTTGGAACTCTGAAGTAAAAGAAGAATGAATTTCACTTTAAAATAATATGTTATTGCTCAATTTGCTGTGAACATTTCTGTTTCAATGATGTGATAATTTAAGGGGTTCACTGCAATTGTTATTGATGTCTAAATCATTTAAGATTAAGTGATGTATGAAAAACAGGCAAAAATAAGATTTTGCAGTGTGAAGCCATTACAATTTTTTTGTTTTTTTAACACAATTTTCACTCTACATATCAAAACTAATTGATATATAGTATACCGAAAAAAGGAATACAGTGACCCCATATAAATTCTATCTCATTTAAACACAAATTTTCATAGCAAGAACATATTATATTTTAATCAAAATTCTGTAGATCCATAGGTTTATGCTTTTTACATACATTCTATAAATTTATCTGTTAGACAAATTTTAATTCATTGTTTCTCAGGAAGTATAATTGATGCATATATCATTATTCTATAAATAAGCTGAATATTCAGATGCAGTCCAACATTTTTTTTATGCATACAAAAAATTATAAAAAAAGTCTGAAATGTTGCACATGCATGTATACTTGGACTTAAATATATGTTAACTTCAAGATACTTTGATATTCAAAAATATGATATTAATTTAGTTAGTCAATCTATAAGCATATATATGCACCTACATGATCATGCCCAAAATTTACCCAATTAGTGAAACTACACTACAACTATCACCTCTTTCCATTTGATTTGTATTATTTACAGTAATGCTTGTTAAAAGTTCTTATTTCTATAGTTACTGAATGTTGTTCATAGTGAAAAATTAATGCTGTAATGTAATAAAATCTGCCAAGGAATAAGGATTATATTAAGGAAACATCCACAAAATACAGATTTGTATCTAAAATTATGACTGTAACAGATTTAAATCAAAATTGTTATACAGATTATATAAAACAATTGATTTTATTACATAACTGATTTGCTAGTCATTTTAAAAACTACTCCATATATGCTGAAAAATTCATGGCAAAACATCTACATTTTCATTAAAAAAGATATATAATTTGCCATCTAAAATCTACAATGCACCTAATTTCCCTTTTTCTCTTGCCACCATTCACAAATTGAAATTTCGATTTTTTCCCCAAAAAAAATACTAGGTTAAATTACTTAAACCATATTTAGCCACAAAAAAGAAGTATGCAGTGTAAAGAATAACTGCATAATATTTGGACATAAATTAATTTATGAAAACGATTACAAAATAACATTTTCAATATCTTGTAATTGAACAATAAAAAGGTAATTTTTTATGATTATCAGTTATAAAATATGGTTTTTGTTCATATTTTTGTATCATTAGTGTATACTGTAAAAGTGCTTTCAATCATGGATGACAATTTTCGATATTTTTTCGTCAATATTGAGTGGCTAGTAGTTTAACACTAGATACATTTCAAGTATGAAATTTTGAATAAATTTCCAGATTTGAATGTGCCACTACAACTACTAGAACTGATACCTCATGAATGATAACATTTTTACAGAGTTTATTTCAATGCACAACAAACTACACACCACCATCCAAATCTTGCTCCGGATCAGGATCAGGCTCAACAGGAGCCTGTGGAGCTTTCCCCTTGCCTTTATCTGGTTTTCCACTTTCTGTATGGCCCATTACTGTTGGAGGACGAGCTCTCGGAATTATTGGTGGTATATATGTCATGCTGTTGCGTCGGCATAATTCTGTAAAATCTGCCTGAAAATTCCCTGTACAACTGTAGGGCTCTACAAGTATAAAAAATGTCATTTGTAAACATCAAACTTTCAAATGCAAAATATCTGCTTTGTTCTATATGAAATTTTAATGAAAGAACCTTTGTGAGCACGCTCACATACCCCACACCCCCACATTGTCACTGGACAAACAAATCTCACCAGATTTCTAAGTTCAAAGACTCATAACTCTACAAAAGTCAACTGATCGATCTTGTGGATATGCACATCTACATAGTATGTCCTTATTATCTACAAAGTTTCATGAAATTCTGTTGTGTGGTTTCAGAGAAGTTGCGATGACAAACTGTTGCAGTAGTATAATTGGGCTAAAATTCTAAGTTCAAAGGGGCATAACTCCTAGAAAAAAAAATCCATTGTATTTTCCTGTTGATAGGCACATCTACATAGTATGTCCTTATTATCTACAAAGTTTCATGAAATTCTGTTGTGTGGTTTCAGAGGAGTTGCGATGACAAACTCTTGCAGTAGTATATTTTGGCTAAAATTCTAAGTTAAAGGGGCATAACTCCTAGAAAAACTAGAGGCTCTCAAGAGCCTGTGTCGCTCACCTGTATTTACTGATGCTTTGGAAATCATGTAAAATAAGGTTAAAATCATAATTAATAGTATAAGATATTAGATATTATAATGATATCTAGGATAATTACAAAAAACTGCATAATTTTTGTAAAATTACTAACTCAGGGGCAGCAACCCAACAACGGGTCATCGGATTTGTCTGAAAATTTCAGGGCAGATAAATCTAAATCTGATGAACATTTTTGCCACCTGTCAGATTTGCTCTAAATGCTTTAGTTTCAGAGATATAAACCAAAAACTGCATTTTACCCCTATGTTCTATTTTTAACTAAGTTGGCCATGATGGTTGAAAGGCGGGGTCATCGGACAAATTTTTTAAACTAGATACCCTAATAATGATTATGGCCAAGTATGGTTAAATTTGTATCAGTAGTTTCAGAGAAGAAGATTTTTGTAAAAGATTACAAAAATTTACGAAAAATTGTTAAAAATTGACTATTAAGGGCATTAACTCCTAAAGGGGTCGACTGACAATTTTGGTCATGGCAACTTATTTGTAGATCTTACTTTGCTAAACACTATTGCTGTTTACAGTTTATCTCTATCTATAATAATATTCAAGATAATAACCAAAAACTGCAAAATTTCCTTAAAATTACCAATTCAGGGGCAGCAACCCAACAACAAGTTGTCAGATTTGTCTGAAAATTTCAGGGCAGATAGATCTTGACCTGATAATCAGTTTTACCCTGTCAGATTTACTCTAAATGCTTTGGTTTCAGAGATATAAGCCAAAATCTACATTTTACCCCTATGTTCTATTTTTAGCCATGGCGGCCATCTTGGTTGGTTGGCGGGGTCATCGGACACATTTTTTAAACTAGATACCCTAATGATGATTGTGGCCAAGTTTGGTTAAATTTGGCCCAGTGGTTTCAGAGGAGAAGATTTTTGTAAAAAGCTAACGACAACAGACAACGACGGACGACAAGTGATGAGAAAAGCTCACTTGACCCTTTGGGTCAGGTGAGCTAAAAATTGAATTGTAATTTTCTGTCGATATGCACATCTACATAGTTTGTCCTTATTATCTACAAAGTTTCATAAAATTCTGTTGTGCGGATTCAGAGGAGTTGTGATGACAAGAACAGGACTAACGGACGGACAGACAGACGAACGGGTGAAAAACATTATACCCTCTGCAACTTCATTGGATGGGGTATAATAAGGTGATTTGAAACAGATTAAGCCTTGTTTTCAGTAACAACCTGTCTTCAATGGTAATGGTAAGCATGCTCAAAGATACAGTTTTTTACAACTGTGCAGTAACTATAGTAGATTAACATTACATGATTGTCTTAATATTAATGATATATGACAATTTCAGTTACCTTTCTTGAAATAGACATGTACACGTAATCCACTCAAAACAAAAAAGATAACAGTCTTTGAAATAAGTATTATTCTACAGGCCCAGAGAATAGAGACTAATGAAAATCTCTATGGGGCTGTATTTATTTTGGTCTTTTAAATTTTCAATTCAAATTTTATTGAGATAAACAGTCTACAACTCAATAGTGTCTAAAATCATTGATTTGTCATGTAAAATACTGAAACAATTATAAACTATCATATTTCAGAAGTTCAAAAATGTGCATTTTGAGTTTCAGAACATCCTCATATATTATTTTAAAATGTCATGTAAAATTCTTTCATAGACTTCATATCTTAAGTAAAACAATTTTGATGCAATGTTCTGTTAATGAGATTGAAGTGTTATAAAATCACTTGAAAATTATTTGTTTTAGAATAAAGTTGGAAGATCTGATACCATTTATCAAAAGACAAAATTTGAACTTCTGTCTTACATTTCATGCTCAATACAATCATAAAAAACATGAAGAACAAAAACTTGTTGAACAAAATTAAATTTCATACTATTCATGTCTATATTTGCCAAAACGAGTTCTTTAACTGTAAATAAAAAAATAAATGCATAAAGTTGTTGAAAGGCTGTTCCTGAAATTTTTTTGGGATATTTAAAGGCATTGATTCAATGTAGTTGTTAGAAAAATTAGGAAATTATATATTTGTAGCACTTAACTTGAAATATATTTGGAGAGTGGGTCAACGCAATGGGCAGATTTGGAAATTGCACAAACTTACAATGAAAACTGAACTTTAGTTTTGTCTATGATTGACACAACTTACAAGATGTAAATATATGACTGACACAACTTACTATATATGATCTAAATTGATCTTACAAAAATTGAATAAAAATTTCAAGAGTCCACAGATATAGTTTTTGAGTAAGTTGAAACTTGAACAGTGTCCAGCTTGTTAAAGATAGTTCACTTCTACAGATTCACAGAACTAAACTTAATTTAACCATGAAATTAATACTTTCAACAAACATAAATATAGTGTAAAAATAAACTGTTGACAAAGAGATAATCTCCCTGTATCTAATTTTGCAGAGAACAGTCAGTAGATTTCAACATATGTATTATATCTGTATCATTTTTTATCATATTAAATGTTTGTACATGTTGTATCAGGTATTCATGGTATTGTTGTATTTAATGAAACTAATAAAACTACTGAATCAGAAGCATGCATGTTTTGGGTATTCTGTTAATATTTTCTTTTCCTTTTGTATTTGTTTTTCAAATTGGAATAGAAATTATTGTGACAAACTTCTTATTCTCATACTACTGTACCAATTATTTTTCATCTCAGTCAGGTTAAAGGAAAAGAGAATGGAAACTTTCATCAACTTACATGACTAAGTTAATAGAAAACTTTAATTTTAAACCTGATATTACCTTGATATCTTGATAATTTTAAAACAAACATTTAGGGTGTAAATTCTGAAAGTCAGTTGGTCAGTTCCAGTAAAATATAGTTGGGTTTAATTTGTAAAATGTGATTCATTACTGTACCAAATTAAATATTTCTGTGAAAGTCTGTAATTACCTGTTATATACAGGATTGACCAAATGTCTAAAAAATCTTTAGATTTTTTTAATCATTTTTAAGCAGATATCATATTTTTATCTCTCTCTGATATTATGACTGCAACTGAAGATTCTATTCCAAATAATTAAAAAAATATTTGTTTCTAGAAGAGCATGAAAAAGGGTTAAAAATTCAATTTATATTTCACCAGTATATTATTTTATGAGAAAAAATTGGACCTTTTATTAACAATAGAAAGAACAAAACCTAAGTAACAACTATAGATGCATTTAAGTAGTTGAGAGTCTGGGACTGTTAATTCAGGTGAATGTCCAATGCAACATAACCATGTACAAGCAGTTTACATACCTGGAGTTTTATTTGGATTTTCTTCATCTTGGCTGACAGCAGAAGCATTTTTTTCTTTCAGTCCCTTTTCTAGCTTCTTGCCCATCTTGATCTTGTTTGCTACACTGTTAAAAAAAATTATATTCTTCATTAGAAGTCCTTCTATTAAGCTCGGAACACATGCAATTAATATGTACATGTATGATAAATCCAAACAGTGACTGTTTTGAGGTAATGGTCATTTGAAGGGGGCTAAAGGATACCATTTAACTGTAAAAGTCTATTGTCCCATATCAAAAAAAACCATTATCTGATTTTTTTAAAGAACAGGGGCTCATATCATAGCTATTTTGGGGTCTGAAATATGTGCATGTTCTTGCATATTATTAGTTTAAACGTCTATTTCCACTATTACTGTTTTCCTCTCCTAGATTTCGTTGAATTCTTGGGAAAATCCTTTCAGCAATATTATTGACATCTCAACAATGAGTCATCATCTGTATTCTAGGTTATGTGGTGCTCATTTTCCTTTTTTTAAGGCCAAGAGTATTATTTTTTAAATTCTGTATGTGAGCGGATTTCTTAAGATCAGAAAATGATTTGATGTAGTATTTTAATCAAACAAAATATGCTGATTATTGCCTCGTAAAAGTGATTTAATCCTGTGCCATTGAATGCAAATTAAATGAAAAAATACTTTGATGCATTAATGACATTGTGACATCTTAACACGAGTTATCTTAAACGTGTTTAAAGTGTTAATTCTGGACTTTCCAATTGACCATTGAAAGTCATGTGAAAAAATTAGAATAACTGTTGTAGGGAGAATTAAAAAGTCAGTATGTCCCAATTTCTCTTTTTATCAAGATATTCATTTGTTATTTGATCTCAAATTTATTCTGTAATTTTCAAATCATAATACAATATACCTGAACTATATATTGTTGCACATGCCCAAAAGCCATCGTCCAAGACTAAGGTTACAAACTTACAAGCATGTCTACTTATTTTACGGAATCGGGTCACAATACGAAACATAGACAGATTGACAATGTTTCTGAAGCTATTCACCAATAAAGTGTATCAGACTGTTTGCAAATAAGTAAAGAATATTTAAATTCACAGTGGATAACATTTGCTCCAAGGTTGTGCTTTTTTTCTTCCGTTTCGAGTTAGGGTAACGTACTTCCAATCATCGTCATCGAGGATATGCATTCTAGTTTGTGTATATAGCATCCCCTATATACACAATGTAGAACGCATTCTAGGCGACTGGTCCGCTATATACACAATCTAGAACGCATACCATCCGACTGGCACATATTTCTGACCCAAAAACATCTATGTGATCTGGTGATTTATTATTTAAGCAAAAGTGATAGTTAAAAGTTTAGGGTACACGCAACTGTTCGATAAATAATCGTTTAATGTGGTGGTACTATTTACATTGTATTCAAATGAATAATTATTAAATTGAAACTGTTGATCACACAATGTAGATATCTATATCAGAGTCTAATACGGCTTTTCAAGCCTGATACCTTGAACTAACATTCGATTTTCAGCTGTTTATTATCAACCTTGACCGAAGTGCATTATCGGAAGTACCTCCGTATAATAGAGTTCTTGTTATATGTATATATTTTAATCAGTTGAAAATTCTATATTAATGTAGTAAGGAAATTACTGGTATATAACATATCAATTTATTGTTTTATTAAGTTAATTATTTTCTTCGACAATCTATACATATACTTAATACGCGACTGATATCATTACGCTAACAACTTCCGTTTCCAATGACAACTTTTCCCCGTACAAAAAGTTAATATTGGCGGGAAAAGCAAATATTTAGTTTTCCAGCTTGATAGCAGAGACACATATTATACGATAGTTATTCCGCGGCGAATAAAGAATTTATGTTTTGCCCACTTCGTTACACAAATAATTTAAAGGTCATTCATCGTCTCTGTATTTAAAGGATATCATAAGTTTAAATCGAAAATCGGAAATTAGATTTAGGAACAGTCATTTTTTTTTCATTCGGGGGATGGGAGGAAACCGGAGGAAACACCTGAATTTCTCTTTTTTTTCAAGTCCCTACCTTGAAGAAGGAAAATAAATTCAAGACGGCCCCCTTCTAAAGACATGAAAATTTCAACACCCTCCCCTCAGTCCAACGGCACTTTTCAATATTTTTATTATTTAAAACAAAAAGGGCATGCATACAATTTCTATTTATATTATTATAATTTTAGATATGTAAAGATAAGGAGATGTGGTATGATTGCCAATGAGACTACTATCCACCAAAGTTCAAATTTGGTGGATCATTTAAGACAATAATAGGCAACAGTACGTCCTTCAACAATGAGAAAAACCCATGTCGTAAAGTCGACTATAAATGGCCCTGACATGAAAAATGTGAAACAATTCAATTGAGAAAACTAACAGCATATTTTATAACAAAACAATTAACGAAAAACAAATATGACAGACATGAACCAACAACAACCACTGAACTACAGGCTCCTAACTTGGGACAGGCACATAAAGAATATGGCGGAGTTAAACATGGTTGAAGGCGCCAACCCTCTCCTAACCCAGGACAATGGTGCAACGGCACAACACAAGAACAAACTATACAAAACAATAAACAAAAAAACAAATATGAGAAACAGCAATAGACGACAACCACTCAATTACAGGCTCCTGACTTGGGACAGGCACATATATATAATGTTTATTTTAATAGATATGCCTGTTATGGTTTATTGACATTTAATACACATTCGCTCAATTACAGCACATGATTCCTTTCTTTTATTAAAGAAGTTAGTAAATTATCATTGAAACGTTCCTGGGAGAACATTTTGAAACTTGGAATTTTTATATTAATGATATAACCAAGCAGAGCGAGGCAAAAAAAATGAAGTCTTTCCTGCCTTAACAATTTTTTTTAATTTTAAGTGGAAGCATTGGGTGTGGGTCGTCTGACTCCACATCTCCAGGTCAAACTATAATTTCGTATTATTGTCATTCTTCATGTCCAATAAACAAACAAAAGATGATCATGACTCACATGAATAAAACATTGAAATGAAGTTTGTAGCCAAAAATTATGACTCAAGAAATATAGATATGACATCAGAATCAAGTGTTAAACACTTCTAATGAATAATCAGATACTGATTTAGAGTATTCATCAAATTAGCTATAATTTGCATGTTTGAAATACAGAACATCTCAAATCTTGTAAAAAAATTTCGATGCCCCCCCCCCCCCCCCTTCCCTTCCTCTCCCCCATCTGAAGTATTGATAGTACTTGAAAATAATACTATCCAGCCAGGTTATCTTCAAATTGTTAATAATTATCCAATCAGATCAAAGATACGAGACGATTGATAGCGAAAACGCAAAATGGCCTTATCCGACCACCATACAATCATACAAGACTTTTTAAGACTGCGAAAACATGTCGTTGTATAGCGAGTTGAGACCCAGACATATCGTATTTCGGTATCTTATGTATTGTGTCGATTTCAGTCGTTCTTCCTTATTACTCTGTTTAAGCAGTTTTTGCGTTCAGAGCTCACCCCTGCTAATGTAGTCCGTATAGTGTGAACATGCAAGAACCGTTGACATATTAATTGAGAGATGTTTAAACGCTATACGCAGAGGAAAAGATCAAGATATGAAGCATTTAGTTTCGGTAGTATCTTAATCTCAAGTGGTTTTATGAGATGGATGCAATTATTGAAATGTGGGTTATAAAGTGACAGGACATCATCAACGTATCTAAAAGAGTAGTTAAAGAACCTTGCAAGATTATTTTATTCACTTTCGACATAAGACTGTTATATAATTGCAGAGAAAACCGTAGAACCATACCATTTTGACAGGACAGGATGATTTTAACAAACGAATATTCTGACCTGGTAAGAACTGCAAATGAATAATCTTGCCCAGGACGGGATGAAGAAAAATTAATATTCGGCAACGCTAGATACAGCTATTTGCAGGAAATAATTGTGTACAAAATAGAAAATTAATTCTAGCATGACGAACAAAAATATGCGAGCATCGCAAAAGGTTACGAAAATGAATATTCCGCCAGAAAAAAATTCCCCTGCTCTCCCACCTCAGAATATCAAATGGTCCTCCGCTAAAGAAGACTTCGACAAAAATACAGATCAGCTTCTTTCCAGCTAGTTAATATAAGTGGTTTCCAAAACAAAACACCGAAAGGTAATGTCGAAACTCGATTTTACCTACTCTTTATAGAGTATTATTGCTTGACATTTGAAAAACTTCTTGAAAGATTTGAAAAAAAATAAATCAATTTCGTTTTATATTTTACATCGTGAATGAATATCGACAAAATACTGTTTAATGTATAACAGGAAGAATGTATGCTGCAATATCTGGCCTTTAACAGATTTTTTATTCGTTTAAAAAATTACCAATTTGACGCATACATACAAAATAGAAAAATCACAAAATAATATATTATATCTACGTTTTAAGAAGGAAAAAATATTCTGATAAAGGGTATCATCAACTCATCCGACAGACCACCAGTTAAAAACAGTGCACTATAACCTCAACACTATAACACCAAAATTAGGACAGAATCTATACTCATTATTTGACAAGCAAATGTACACTATCCAGATTTGTGGACAAATTCAAGGCGTGGTACTAGCTTTCACAGCTGACTATGCGGTATTGGTTTTGGTCGTTGTTGAAGGCCATACGGTTACATATAGTTGTAAACTTCTATGTCATTTGGTCTCTGGTGGAGAGTTGTCTCATTGGCAATCATACCACATCTTCTTATTTTTATACAAAGATATTGAACATAAAGGAGTGACCATTTGCATTAGTTGTCAGTCTTTTGTAGGCGGTAAGTTAAGGGGTAATTTCGAAGGATGAAAAACGATCTCATTAAAGTACGGATCCTGTGTCCACGCTCACAGGCGCTTGTGGAATGGACACCCTTTTCCGAAGTATTTTTTGTGTGTATTGATCTTTGTAAGAAATACTTTTTTATATTTTAACTTATTTAATAGCAACCTGATGTTCAGTGGTTGTCGTTTGTTGATGTGGTTCATAAGTGTTTCTC